AAGCTGCCCTAACAGAAATCTTTTTTCTCGTATTGTAGGGAAAAAATAGCCTCTCTGTAATTGAGGCTGAGATTTGTTTTCCTTTACAAGCTTGATTTTGGCCCCTTCCCCTTCCCTTTTAAAAATACAAAAAGGGTTCTTTTTTCCTTCACATTTTGCATGCGCAGCCTGTGCTGAGCAGATAATGATTTATCCAAATTTTAGATGATTCACTCAAGCTGTGCTTGAGATAGGGGGCTTAGAATAAAATAGGTCTTAATCGTGATACGAGAAGTCTTTCAAGCATTTTTTTTCTCTTTTTTTCCATAAAAAGGGCTTGCGCTAGAAACTTATATTTCAAAGTTCTCAGGAATGTCTAAGACATGGTGTTACTTTTGCACTGAGGAAGGGAATTCACTGGTAAATAGGAATGACAAAAGGGCCCCCAATGCTAAATTTTTAAGAATAATTAATGAAATATTAGCCAAAATTAACTACAAATAGAAGGAATTCTGATTTTTGAAGGCTGACCCAGAGAGAGAAATTCTCAGTTTAGGAAAAAAGTTTTGTCTTGACCCCACTGCAGACAATGACAATACTCATATTTATTTATTAAGTGTATAGTTCGTGCACCAGCACTTGCGAGACCCTCAGGACCTCTGAAAATAAATAGGTCACAAGCAATTCTGCAACAGCCATTTGTAGGCAAAAGCTAAAATACAGCACAGTCTGCTTTACTAACCCCAACCACTCTGCCTACACCAGTGTTAGTGAAGAAAATGTTCTCTGATGGTGAGTAGCATGGCGTGGCTTGTGCCCCAATGGCTACGCTGCCTTCCTCCTGTGTACCCACAGGCATAGCTTCCTTCACACCAGCCCATGCTCTTTCCTGATGCCTTCCATTTTCTGGTGTACCCGTCACTATAGGCTGTGCCAGGGTATGTGCTAACAGTCACATAGCATACAGCTGGGTGGCTGTGGGGAAGCGCTGGTGCTGCGTAGGGTCCCCGAGTACAGGCAGCAGCAGCACTATCTAATGCAGCTGAAGCCATTGCCGGCACCCAGCTCAGCCTGGCACACGGCTGCACCATCCCCTGGGCTGTGCTGCAACAAGTGCTTGTGTCACCACATGGTTCACCCACCAGGGAGCTGATCTGGCTGGAAAACAACTCAGCAAAAGCAAAAAGTGACCTGAAGTGTGTGATGGGGATGGACAAGAGGGAGCAGAGAGAGTGGTAACTACTACAGCTGACTGCTGACAAGTTATTAATCACACTACACCCCTCAGCCGTGCTGAGTGAGAACTGCAAGGCTTTCTCCAACAAGCTTTTAGTTGTATTTATTAACGGATTGATTTTAGCAGCACTGGACAGGATGTCAAAACTGAATGCTCAGTACTTTTGTTTTAGCACCTTTCTCCTGCACAGGTTATTGGTAATACGGCCCCTGTTTTATGCAGTGCTCCAACAACGCTTGACTGCAGTGGAGAGTACATTACAGGAGAAGATCTATTTCAGTTAATCCGTGGGCATGAAGTCCCTTTAAGCATGGGCTAAACTATAAAGTACCTGAGCCAAATTTATGAAATCAGAGGATTTTACATGAAAAAAAGCCAAAGCTGAACTTCATATTATGATGAGACATGGACACATCTGTGCATAAAACCAATTATAAAGTTAATGTTCTGCTTGGCACATTTTGCAGTACTCCACAAACTGTAAAATGCTGCAGCCTCTTAATTTGTAAGATTTCCACAGCTTATGGCCATACGGCCCTTTAACTACTTAGGAGAAAATACTTGATCTGAAAATAACCCATCAGAAGTGCGGAAAGAACAGAGTCAGGTAGCTGGCTCTAATATTACAGGGGTAATACTATGGTGGCAGGGGCTTTGACTCTTCATTTCACTATGTTGTGGTTTCTCTCACGATTAGCCTCAGTTCTCTATTTTGTGATTTTCTGCTTCCTAACATTTTATACTAAGCCCTGTATTATTTTCATTTTGATTAAATCACTGATATGTAATTTAAAGCAACACCCGCATACAGAGGTATGCAAAACTCCTTGCAGAAGGTGAAAGCAGGAGCCTAGACACTAGTTTCCAGTGTGGGTCGCTTTGGTAGATTTGCCTCATCAACCTTTTAACCCAAAGTCCAGCTTGTTTTCCTCACTTTTCACTTTTTTTCTCCTTCTCACCCATAATTAATTATTTAACTCTGACAATTATTTTGGGATTCACTTAACAGGACAGACGCTACTACTACATAAGGTTTGACCGTGCTGCATGGCATATGTTTTTTATACCTTCCCGTATAGACAGTTTGCGCAGAAGAGAACCAATGCTGTACTGACCAGCTCAGCATACTTCTTAAATAACAGGTCCAGCTTCTCCTCTGGAGTATTCAGCTTGTTCAAGCTTTGCATCAGTAGGGTGGCTTCCTTCCCTTAAAAAAAAAAGAAGCAGAGATTTGATGGTAGAGGTAGTTTGTAGCTGATGTACTGTTATGAAATTGGTTGTTTGATGCATGAGTCTGTAAAAACTCAGGGAGAAATAAGGCATTTTGGAAGGAAGGGAATAATTTTTGCTATAAATTTCTGGGTTTTTCTTCTCCCCATAAGAACAAACATGCTTGAATTTTCCTCCATTTCAGCCCTCAATAATGTGCTGTCTTCTAGCAAAAGCATTGGCTGTGAAATGCTTTTGTCCTGTATAATCTGATTTTCATTTAATGTTTTACAACATGACTGGATCACATATATGGCACATTTGACTGATACAGGATTAAAAGATCCCGGACCCTGAAGCCTCAGAAGTCAGATCTCTTTGCAGGCGAAAACAGATCAAAGCTGGTGTACTCAGCTCCTGTGCTGCTCCACCCATACAAGACATAAAGAAGATTAAGTTAGGTACGGAGACTATGGTGTGGATGGAAACAGAGAGCAGTGGGTACTGCCAGCCAGGTCTGGGCTACGTGATCGTGGAGTAAATCAGTTCCCTGACTTGGTGAAGAGAGTATGGATACCAGAGACAGTCTAATAACTATCTGGGCGTGCGTAGCTAAATCACTGCATAGCCATTTATGTATTGCTTCTCTTCTGATACCTCCTGGTATTAATTTCAGCCCTGAGTATGAGCTGGAGCTTGAACACCACTTGTTCATCAAACACAAAATATCCCTGGTGTCCCTGGAGATAAAGATGGCTGTGGTGCCAGGGGCTTGGCCGTGCTTTTCCAAATGCTCCTCTTTCCCAAGACTGTGAGAGCAAATTTGCTTTCTGCTTTAGGCTGGACTTTTTCTATTTCAAGTCTAGTGTAGTCCAGGAGTACTGCCTGTGGAGAAAATCCACTATTTCACACTAAGTTCTCTCTACAGCACCAGCATAAATAAGTTGAAGAGAGCTAAAAAAAAATACTGGGGTGAAAACTGTTGCAAGTGCGGCTGGAGAACTGTGCTTTGCTAGTGTTTTCACTGATCTTGGAGAGGTACCAGTAACTGGACCAAAGCCAAGGCAATAGAAACTGAGGGACTTTATTTCTCCTGGACATTCAAGGAATTTAGGGAAAAAAAATCCCTGCTCTGTCCTATGATTTGTCCCTTGTCTTTAAGAACGTCCTGCAGTGATTTTTCTATAGGCTTAGTCCGCAGTTGGATTTGGGTTCTCACGCAAAGGAGGAGCTTGAAGATTGGTGGGAGTTAAATGTAGGAAGGGAAATAAATTACCTGTTTGCTAGATTGGGAGAGCTACATTGCTCTCTAGTGGCTGCCCGGCAGAAAGGACATACTTTACAAAAACTTGCTGAGACTTCTTTCTAGCTCAGCTAACAGAGCCCTGCCGTGGCCAAGGTGCTCTCTAAGCACTGTGCTTAGAGAGAATAAACGTATTGGCTTATTTCATATAGTCCGTGATGAGTCCGGAGGTCTGCTAGATGAAAAATAACCTGGGCATGGCAGTAAATTCGTTCTGCAGATTCCCACACCACGTAGCAGCACCATTAGCACCATTATGACCGCTGAGAAGTCATGCCTGAGGAAGCAGGGGAAGAAAAAATTTACCCAGGCACAAATGAGAGGCCAGGTTTTCCTTTGTCTAAGAAGCAACTTTCTGCAGTGTGTCATCAGTCTCACAGCTTTGGCTGACTAGTTTGGGCAGCCCGATAGTATATCAGAATTGTGTGATATAATCCTAAGTATTTGTCTTTTTAAAAGGACTAATATCTGATACAGCCTTCATGTATCTGTCGGGTAATTGCTGAAAATAATTATCAGTTAGAGAAAAGTTGTAACAGTCACTGCAATTTTCAGTGGTAACTAGAGGTCCTATCATCCACAGCAGAGACTTAACATGGGAAAGAGCAAGGACCAGGGAGGTTTTACTTCTGTTCGCAGAAGGGCTGTGTAAGTACATAAGTACTTGCCTAGTCCTTTCAAGATTTTCTTCTCCAGTTTTTGCTCCTTGCTGCCGCTGGGCTCCTTTGCTCTGGAAGCATCCCCAGGAGCCAGCTTCTCTTTCTCAATCTCCTCATTTGCATCTTCATACTCCGCATCCTCCACGCTGCCTGGCTCTCCCTTTTCAGGCCTGTCGGTTCCCGTAGCGGCGCTTTCCGTCTCCATCAGGCTCACGGCAGACCCGTAGGTTTTAATAATGTCCTCCAGCTGCCGGCTCAGCTCCTCCGAGATGTCGCACACAGCTGCTTCGGGCCGGGCGCTCGGCTGCTCCGCGGGGGCTGGAGCAGGGGGCTGCAAGCTGGGGGCAGGTTTGTCCCAGCTCTGCCCCTGGATGTCCTGCCTGGGCGAGGTGGGAGACTGGTCATTCTCCATGCTTGGTGCAGTACCTGACAGCAAACAAAAGGAGGGTTAATTTAAAAGCACACGGAATTAGTCATCTAACTGTTCCTAAAGCTCGGCCAGCACGTGAGTGTATTTGTGTGGAATTTGGGACGGCAGCTCATCCATCGGCTCTGGCTTGATAAATATGTCATACTTAAATAAACAACCAAGGTGATTTGCCTGCAGGGAGAAAAGCAAATTATATACTTTCCATGAGGAAAAGCCTGCACAAACCTAATACTTAAAAATCAAAACCTCTTATTCGTGTTGCCAGCGATAACACATGAAATGATGCCTGAGTCATTTATACCACTTCCCTCCCTGAACATGCTATTTACCACGTTTACTTTTCTTGATCTGTTTACCCGCGACGCTGGCTGCCGATATGGGCAGCTTCACTTCTGAGCTGCATTAGTTTCATTTCCTATTTCTCCCCCGTCGGCACATCTCTAAGTCAATAATCACGAAAAAGGAATATTTTAAATGAAACCAGCAAACTGAAAATTGCGCTGTGCTCTTGGAGAGCCCAGTGTCGTGCTTGATCTATAAGTGGCCTGGCTTGGTACTGTCACAATAACAGCAAAGAATAAGATAAACAGCTATAAACCACTCTTCTCTTGTACTTGCTGCGTGCTGCTGACAGCTTGTTTGACAAAGTACAAATACAGAATAAATCACGGTGAAGTAAAACCGACCGGGCGTAACATGGGTTGGTAGTCCGTGGTGTTTTCTGGCGCTAATTTCACATAATTTGTTCCAAATCTGCAAAGGGAAGCTTTTGTTTTCCCATGTCTTTGAGTGGCTGCACTCAGCCAGGCGAATCCAGAGCCCCCGGTGTGTCTGTGTTCCTTCAGAGGCTGCGCCGGCTCACCCAGGATCTGGCGATGAGGGTGTCAGTGAGAGCATCCTGGGCACCTGCTCCCCAGCTCCTGCAAGGTGTGGGCCAGCAGAAACAGCATCTCTGACTGCGTGCAGCTGGGAAACTCAGTGTAGAGAAGGCTCCTTCCTTCTCAGAGTGCCAGCAGAGCTGCTGTCGCTGCTGCATTGCCCTCACGAGGCACAGGGTGCACAGCTGGGTCTTGCCCTGCAACTAGCCCCTGCTTCTGCTCGGCTACAGACTCTGTACTCTTTATAGCCACAGGCCCTTTCTCTCTCTCTTTTTCAGGCTGTTTTTTGTTCCTCCCTTTAATGATATGATTTACAATGGTGCCAGTGGAGAACGAAGAGTGGAAGAAGATTGCTTTCTCAGTTCTGTTCCAGCATCTGAGGTAGTTGCTTTCTTATTTTTTAAAAGACGACTTGTTTTGAAAACATGGAGCTAACTGGGAAGCATTTTGTTCCCTGTTCAGCTGGCCATAACGTATATCTTCTATGGTGTCTAAATTTCTACAGCTTTCAAAATCATAAACTAACTTGGCCAAAGGCAGTATATGATAAGAGAGATGTAATTTACTGTAATACATGACTCAGCGTTTGTTATTAAACTCTCCCCAGTCAAAGTGATGTTTGGAAGTGCAGTGATGGCCATCGCTAAGGCATTTTTCAAGATTCGATTGTTGAGCTATTTGACTGGGCTTACAGATAAGACAGTCAAATATTATGGTTTATCATCTCTCAAGCAATTAATTGTGGGCCTATAATTGAAAGCTTTAAGTAGGGCTCAGGATGTGCTTGAAAACTGTTAGCTATAAATCCATGCCCCTGCAGTCCTCCCACAGGTACAACTCGCCAGCAGGAACGGCTTGGGAAGGCGGCTGGACCTGGTCCCACAGACCCAGACAGACACATCCCATTCTTTCCTTCCTGCTTGTGGCATGGTCATTATATCACTGCAAAGTGGTTTTAAAATTATATCTGTCTGATTTGATTTCATATTGAACTCAATTTATGTTGAAAGATTAGACCCCACATGTGCAATTTAGGTAAATAATTCCAGATAGCAGGAATGTTAGACTACAGTTTGTGATCCTGTTTTAACTAGAGTTAATTGACTGCCAATTAATTCAAGGTCAGTAAGATTATTGTAAATGCTAAGCTAGAAGCTCCACAAAATGTGTGCTTATTTCTGACATGTTCAGACTAGTGTTTACAATTGTATTCATTAATTTGAGCTAATTGGCAATTGGCGATCAATCAGCTAGAAAACCCAGGATCACCAGCTCTTGTCTAGGCAGAACAAAAGCCTCACAAAGTACATCCCCAATTTAAACTATTTGTTTTTGTAATATGTTCATCACAGAAGGAGAACAGGATTGCTAAATGCTCCATTTCCAAATATGAATTTCTCTTTTGCCTATCTCCCTCTCTTTGTAAGAAGGCACAAGTCGACGTGGTCCTCGCTGCACCCCGACTCCCTCCCTTGGCTGCCTCCCAACTCCCAACTGCATCGCTCATGGAGCAGCACCGCCTGCCTAAAGGTTTCCTCCTGTGTGAATTACTAAGCATGCCTGCAAACACAGTAGGCTTTAAATCAACAGCGGCAATCGATTTATGCACAGTGTTTCTCTGTAATAAGGGAAACACATGGGTGAATGAAAGAGAAACTGGATGTTTAGAATCAAGGACACAAGATGTTTAAAAGCTGGCCTCACAGGAAATCTTCCCTAACATACATTCCTGGCTAGAAAGGGATTAGTAATAATCAGTCTCTGAAACCATGGCAATTCGCATCTGCTGAGGTTCAGGCCACCAGCCTGAGCAGGCAGGCACCACAGAAATACCCAGCAGTGAACCTTTAACACAAGGGTGCCCACCTGACAGATCACACTGGGGATCGTATTTACACAGACAAGTAAATATTTTAATGCTTTATTCCATTCTCTTTCAGGCTAAACCAGAGGTCTGATAACTCCTTTCAGCACTAACATAACGCTTGTTAAGACTTCTGCAGCTTGTTTTGTGTAATGGCTTTCCCAGCGTCACGGAGTTTATATTTAGGGAGACAGGGCAGCTCTCATCTGCTGAAAGCAGCCCATTTACAGCCTTTGATGCCGGGAGATTTTACTGCAGCTGGCCCTGGCCCTCCTCGTGCGTCAGCCTGTTTAACCTTGATGTACATCAGGAATTCTTTCTTATCAGGCCATAAAAGACTTTCGGTGCCAATCTCAGCAAGACCTGAAGTGTTTACTTTATACACTATCTTAGACACAGTATTGCCTAAAAATTAGGTGATTGAGCCCGGAAGAGAAATCCCTTGGTTCCTCAGGGAATTTTAGACTTGCCCAATTTTAGACTATCCACCTCTTGAGTTTTGCGACTCCTACTACTATTACTGTTGCCTCCAGGCACCTGAATTTCCAACATGGCCTTATCCTGTTTTACGGTGAGGGGGAGGACTGACCGGTTATCTGACTGAGTCTGAGCATTGCATCTTGTTTATTCTTTTCCTCCTGCGCTCCCAAATCCTGGACCTGTTCCACAGCCCTGAGATCAGTATCTTTAATGGCCCTGGTGTTTTGGATGGAAGCTTGATCCCAGACACTTGTGGTTGCTGCCTACAGATAGTCACTCCGGTCCTCCTCTCCTCCAGTGGGAAACACCCCCAAGAGCCGGAGGGTGCTACTGCCTCCCCACTGTGGGAGAGGCTTTTCTCCATTCTCCTCCTTCCTCCATTAAAAGCTTGGGATAACCCAGGAGAGCAATGGAGCTCCTCGGGGCACGGGTGACCTCCAGTCTCAGGTGGGAGGTGACAGACACCGGTCCCAGGTTGATGCCTTTCTGTAGGAGGACTTGTGGCCATGCCTGCCATCCCACAATGAGACTGGTGCTTGGGGCAGCAGCAATCTGCAGTTGGCCCCAAAGGCACAAAACAGGGCTGAGCACACAGCATAGCCACAGCTGGACTCAGAGGCAACAGAAAAAGGTGTGCTGCTACGCTCAGCCTGGTAACATGCTGAATTTGTTTGTCTCTGACCATATCCCTTAACATGTCACATTTACGGCACGATTTGCCTTCTCTGTGCTTTGAAATCAGCCAGCACCTCCAAAGTAAAAGGTCAGTTGGCAAGAGCCAGTGCCTGATTTAGCAGAGCTGCAATAGCCATCCTTCTGCTGCTGGGAAAACTGTCCCCTGTGCCGGGCGCCGCGTCAGCCCGCCTCTCGCACCGCTGGAGTGGACCCTGCTGCCGAGGCACCGTCCCGGCACGAACAAAGCACAAAACAAACGTCCTCTTCTTAGCTTCTCCAGCAGACTGCCTTGCATACTGTCGCAGAGTTTTGTTTATCTTTTTTAAACAGAGCGCTTCCCCTTCCTTCTCACAGGAATTGCTTCCTCCTTCCCTTCTCGCAGCTTGAACTTCTAGAGGGTCTACAAACTGGTCTATATTTAGCTCTTGTCTCCCCATGTATCCAGCAGAAGGACACATGGCACCTGCTCTGCAGCCAGGAGTTATTTTAAGCACTTCTAAAATGGGTAATGGTATTTAGCACTTTATGCTCAAAATTCACATACACACACACAATTCTCTAAAACAAAGTGTTCCATATACTTACACCAGCCAGCATATGCTGATAAAATCTGAATTTTTACCTCGACATAACACCAGATTGAACTACAGTAACACCTCAAAGCAGCACATATTAAACTCTGGAATGGCCCACACTACTGTAACTCCAATTACCCTCCAGAAAAATACAAGTGCCTTGCTATAGCCTAGACACTGTCCTATGTATTACTTCAGAAAGCGGCGATAAAATCAGCTTTATCAACTACATGCTACATTTGAATAGTTTTATGATTTACGCACAATTTTCTTGTACAAAACTGAACAAAAATTCAGAGACTTCATGGCAGGTATTCATCAGGCATGGAAAAAGCCAGACTCAGAGACTTTCTGAAGTCCCCTGCCTCACCTCTCATGTGGCACCTGAGTCTTGATCACTTATTGTTGTAGCAAACCAGCCATGGCCCCTAGTTTCACTTAAAGGCAAGCTCTACCAAAGTCAGCTTAAATTTTTTTGATCACTCTTTAGAGAAGCTTTTCTTACTTTCACCAACATGCCTGTTTTCCTTACACGTCACACGGTGCCCAGGCTTTTAAGGCTATTCCTAGAAAACATGGGCTGACAGTCCCAAAGGGAAGTACTTAGATTAAAGCCCTTGCACCATGCCACCAAGCAGTGACAGCAAGGAAGCTGTTCATCAGACTTACCGGAGCAAAGAGAAGAGCTGAGCAGAGAAAAAAAGTCAGGCAGAAAGCTCAGACAAGGGCACGCCAGCAACAGGACACTGGTACTGTAATCCTGCCACCAAGGGAAGAGGGACGGGAAGACCAAGCGAGGGGGAAGGACAGAATGACACAGCAGGAGCAAACACTGCGGAGACTGAATGCGCGCTTTGCAGGGGACTGGCTCTGATAGGCGAGCAGGGAGGCTGCCTGCTAGCTGGCAGCATAAGCCAGCTATGTTGGCTACTCCCTGCTCCGACAGAGATAGCACGAGAGATTAGAGACTCGGGCCCTCAGAAAGAGAAAATAAAGGAAGGATCCATACACAGCGGCTACCCTTCAAAATCAAGTCTTAATCCTTCACGTAGCGCTGTGTGAAATTTGTCTGTATTGACTATGGATTGGTCAAACTTGGTCTAACTTTTCTGTCTGTACCAGAAAGACTGGGATGGCTTTCCATAATGTGAATTCCCAGCTGTGACTGCCCTTTGCAACCGGGGATTTGGGCAGGATTTGTTAAAAACCAGGCTGATCCTTAATCCTAGACTCACTGGCTGGAAGGGACCACAGGAGGTCTTTAGTTCAACCTCTTGCTCAAAGCGAGCTCAGCTGTGATCTCAGACCAGGTCTCTCAGGGCTTTGTATTAGTCTTAAAATAAGTCTCTCCAAGGATGGAGACTGCATGACCTCCCTGGGAAGCCTGTTCTCCTGCCTGCCTGTCCTCGTGGTGAAAGGGTTTCTCCTTATACCTAGCCTGAACTTCCCCTGTTTCAGCTTGTGCCCATTGCCTCTTGTCCTCCCACCTTACACCCCTATGAAGAGCCTGTCTGTCTTCTTGATAATCTCCTCGTAGGTACTGTGGGGCTGCAGTTAGGGGCCCCCAAAGCTGTCTCGTCTCCAGGCTGAACATCCCACTTCCCCCAACCTCTCCTCATGGGGCAAGTGCTCCAGCCCCTCCAGTGAATTGACCAGCTTCTCCCATGGGGGCAGCAATGCTAATGGAGATGGCTGGTGTAGCTGTTCCCCTGATCCCGGTAGCTCCCAAACAAATGTTCTTGTTGCTGCCAAGGTAACCTGCCTGACCCACTTTCTGCATGTCACTGTGCCGGCTCACAGTGGCCCAAAGTTGTTTACACAAACAAGCAGAGGACTCCCCAGGGAGCTCAGCTGCATGCTGTTTATCCAGCGACCAGCGACTCTCACTGCAGTGACCCACAAGCCACTCAGGCGGCATCTTGAGATGCCAGATGGCCTAAGGACCATCTGCTGCTCACTCCCTAGAGAGACATGTAGGTCAGTTTAATGCACAAATATGCAAACAACTGAGATGCGCTAAGCTGGTACTGGCAGTGGCAGCCAGTGCTATGAGAAGAGAAATGGTACTTTGGCTCCAGTGAAAAATAATAAGGCTCAGAATAACAATAGGAGGAAAAACACATGTATACTACAATGATTTGGAGTAAGCCTTCAAACTGAACTGTTGTTGCATGGCACTAGAAGATCCAGAAATGTTTGGTACCTGATTTACGAGGGATGTAAGAGAAAACAGTACTGGGCAGCTCAGCATCAAGAAGTACTGGCTCAGAAATTGTCCATATGTTAGCAGCATCCCAGACTTTCACTGGAGAGGACTAAAGGTCTTACTATATTTGTGGACATAGTGCCTGTGGGGCGGAAAGAACATACTTGGGGTGGTTTCTCATTAATCTCATTTATCTACTTGGAAAAGGTAGCTCATATTATCTGGGGATGTGTGAGCATCATGCCTTAAGGAAAAATCAGTTCTTCAAATCTTCTTCAGATACTGGTGATACTGTGCCTCCTAAGGAAGGCACAGATTGAAGGATGATGAAAGGGAGCTTGCAAGGTCGGGGGCTTCTGCTGTGAATCTTTTGGAGGGGGTTGGAAACTGGCTGGACGTGTTTTGAGAGAAGATAAAGCTCTGGGGTTGTTTGTGACAGGGTAGCGTCAGTGAGCAGAATACCAGTGAAGATAAGAGTGTGCAGGCTCCTTGGGCTCCTCCTGTTTTGACTGGAGAATTCTCCTGTTCCAGTCCCCTGTTCATTTTTCTTTTGAAATAAAATCAGCTCCACGGTTTCCGAGATCAAAATGCACAACTGAGCTACCAACAGCTGAGTTGCAGAAAGTTACTCTGGCATATCCTCACTCCTTGGCAAACACAAGGCAAGACACGGTCAGCTTCGCCCTCTTTCACTGAGGTTAAAGCTATTACGTGTTAGCTCATTTTTGCAACAGCCTGACAGCATGCACGCAGACCCTTATCGCAGCTCAAATGACATGTGAGGATTCACTGGGTGGTGGGAACTTGCTCATGTCCTTGAGCCATCAGAGCATGCTGATAACAAGAAATTAGTTGGGGTCATCATTGTAAAAATTAGCTACAAGAAATCCAAAGCTACATGTTCTCAATTGTTCCTAAATATGCAAGTAAAGAAAACGGCCTCTGGTACAGTCAGGGACTAGAAAGGGGCAGATGAAATCAGTGTTCCTGAGTATGTGGGGAGTATGCGTGTGCAGCTCCGGAAGATTAAAAGGGATCTGCTGGATTTTGACGTGTGAATTGAAACAACTACCTTAAGAAGGGAAAAGGAAACTCAGACTGAGAAATTTAGAGGAGTGTGTTGAAACTGTCATGCAGGCCATTTACATGCTGAGGGCGACTGACCAACTGGCGTTCTGACTCTGCACGCTGGGATGGTTGCATCTGGCGAGCTGAGGAGAGAGCTGGCTGAAAAGCCTCTCTGTGAAACCTGCACTGCTTCTGACGTTTCTGCTTTTGCAATGCTTTGGGCATTTCATGTCCCTGTTTAGAGGAAGAGAAAGAAAAGCTTTCTCTAATCCACGAGAAAGAGGAGAAATGTACCTTCCCCATGTTAAAGCTAGACCACTCCTTGAGAATTTGCTGTAACAAGGCTGAATTTCTTTTTCAGTTGTGTTCAGTTGTGAGCTGGCTTGCATATCCATAACCCTACACTCTCTTTGGTGCACAGTGGCATTTCCACTGGTGTTATTGGTAACGTTACACAGAAATTGCTTGTCTTGCAGCCTATTTCTGGATTAAATATAACCATCAGCAGCATAAACCTACTGAAGAAACAGGCTTCCCAGGGGAAAACTAATCTAGTAAGTAAATTTCTACCTATATTTATCATTTGCTCTGTATGATATTCAATGCATTCAGGCTTACTAAATGGAAGGACAAGTTCATAATTAAGTCAATGCTATTGAATCTTTTGGGTTTTCTTTCTATCTTTTTCTGACATACCTTTTCCTTTCTTTCCCCAGGCCATTTTCCTCAACTGCAACATTCAGCTCTCACCTGCTGATGCTCTCCCCCCTCCCTCCAGTGCTAATGTCATCGGCATTGAAACAGTTACTTTTGGGGGTTTTATGTATTCTTTTTGTGTGCCATGGAAGGTTTAGGCAATAGACCCACGGTTCAAGTTTAGAGCCTCCCTTTCAAATGCTCAAGGGCTCTAAAAAATGCAAACTCTGTCTGAAGGCAATACTGTGTTGGTTAAAACCACTTTAAAAAGTTTTGAGGGTTTCTTTTTCATCACGAGCAGTGGCAAGCCTCTATTTCTTCTTCCACCTAATTTCTGCAGAAGCCCTAATATCCCTTGGAAGCCATACAGACTGCTTTGGCCCGCAGGCCAGTGTCTTGACAGAAGGTGAAGAGGCTGGGGAGGGTCTCCTGCCTTCTACACTGGCCAGAAAAGAGCCATCTGCACCCCTCTGCAAACTGTAGCCGCCCTGCTCCACGAGATCCCACTTGCCAGCAGCACAAGAAAAATCTGGAGACAACATTATTCCTGGTCACGTCATACACGGAGTTGCAGACTGCAGTGGACTGACATGGCCTGCCACTTCAATGCCAAATCTGTATCAGTGAGAGCATCATTTTTGGATTCTAGCAAGGAAACCCTGCTAAGAACCTGGAGGAGTTCTTCACAGCTTTCCTGCTGAACAGTTTGTAGTTTACTTTTGGAAAGATACAAGTCTTTCAGATTATACTGTACCTGGGCAGAACCAATTCCTGCAGTACCACTACTTCAGTTAATTATATAATATATCTGGAAATAAAATTGATCCATTCTGTTTAAATATGTACCATAATACACTTATGCCATTACATAATTAATATACTTATAACATGATAACATATAGTAACAAGCAAGTATGTAAGACATATAATGAAAGTATAGCATGTATGAAGGATTTAGAAATGCTTATAACGTACAACGTATAATTAGAATTTAGAAATAGCCCTCGTAAAGGTCTTGAGACACAGAAGCACAGTGATGTGTGAGCGGTGGTCTGGAAGTCAGAAGCTTGCTGCGTCTGGCAGTGTTTCCCTGCTGTGGGCAGCTACAACTGAACCAGGGTTGGGAGAGTCCTTTGAGGTCCCAGTGCAAAGTCTGTCAAGACCAATCTCCGTTGGGTTTAATTTACTTCTTTAGAAATGTCATAAACATCTGGACCAATCAGACATTTTGCATGGTGACCTCTTGGGAATCATTTCTCTCTTGCTTAGTCCTGTGTCAATGAAAAAAAAAAAGGGAAAAAAATAACATATTTGCATTTATTTGCATACACAAAGCAGGTGCTCCACACTGCATCAATTTTCTACAGATTTCCTAGTTCCAAATCAATCTCAAAAGGGTTGGGAGGTTATGATTTGCCTTCTAATAAGATTTTATGGCCTGAAGGGTTTGTCATATACCTACGGTTTGCCAGGTTTTTTCTTCTACAGCTCAAAGATCCTGACTACCAATGGCAGTTAATAACACAGCCAAATTAGCTGACACAGAAAATCCCAATAGGCAACAGACTTAACTATTTTAAGCAAATAATTTAATTCTTAATCTACATCAGTAGGAATATAATTTCTGAAATTTAGCAAGGAAACCACTCTAAGAATCTGGAGGAATTCCCCATGGTTTGCTACTGAACAGTTTCTGATTTATTCTTGGAAAGATTCAAGTCTTTTGAAACCTTAAGAGCAAGCAAAATCAATTATCAGGGTTTCCATTTTCTCCAGGCAATTTCCACCGCTTCAGCTTGCCCAGGAGATAGACTCTCTATAAATACATTATGCTATGTGCTATTTGAAGAATTTGGCAAACTGGAGAATAACT